CCTGCAGTTTGTCCTTTTTCCATCTGCGTTCAATACGACGACATTCCTTCCTTACAGCACGAGTTCTGTCATTAAACCAAGGCTCAGGTTTAATCCTTGGCTGCCTAGTTTTTAACGGTAACGGAAACTGATATTGTTATGTTGCAAACAAAACGCACCCCCTCCCACCAGGCTTTAATGAAAGACATAAAGGGACATTTAAAGTTGGAGAAAGTTAAATATTTATTAAGGGGAAAGCAGATATGCTTTACTCAACTTGGCAGTCTTATAAGTAATTTCAATATAAATACATAACCAATTAATATGGTACAGTGATAGAGACGTCACCCTCTGGTGTTTGTTGGCTTGTTCTTTACTTACATTACTAGTATTACTTATTATTTTTCTATTTAATGTTTTTTTCTCTGTGTTTGAAAAGAAAAATCATAATAAAAATAATTAATAATAATAATTAGAACTAAATGAATAAACTAACCCTGAGTAATTTTGTTAGTTTTTGTGTGTGTGAACAAGGGTACCTTCATGAGAGCGGTTTCTCCTCCAAGAGTCTGAGCGTTGACGTAGGAGCCCGCCTCCAGGAGGATGGCAACAGTCGTCAAGAAATTCTGATGGCAACAAAAACACTTCATTAAAAAGGCATGGGTTTTGTTGTCAGTATCTGAATTAAAATCTTACTTTGTATTCTGTCAGTGATTTTAAAAAGTCTTTACACAAACGTTTAATTTAGTTTTCCTTTTTAAGATTTTTTTTACATTTGTTTACAGTTTATTTAATAACAATAACAAACATCATGCAGACGATTACAGACCACAATAAAAATTTAATCTACCACCATTATAACAAAAACACAGTAACTCAACTAATATTCATGCCAAATACGATGTGCAGCCGAGAAGGACTTTTTTTAATCAAATTTTTTATTGATTTTTTTCAACCAACCAACACACACACACACACACACACACGCACGCACGCACGCACGCACGCACGCACGCACGCACGCACGAGAAAAGAAAGAAGCAGAACAAACAAGACGTAGAACATACAACATGGAACAAAACTCCCTCCAACACTGGATAAACAGGCCTTGACATGTTTTGAACATACGACACAAAAGGCTGCCCAGTGTCCCAAAATATTTAACAGAACATCCTGATGCTGCTCAATAATCCAGGTAGAACGATCTAAATTAAGTCTGGTCCTCTGGACGGGTTCAAAAAACAAAATCTTGTAGAAACATTTAGACTTTCATCCAAAGGACTTCTTCAGTCTTTTAATAGAACCTTTCAGGGTACATTATGTTTTCCAAATGAATATTTTTCCATTCAACCTTTATTTAGACTATAAATGCCATTGGTCTCATTTACATGATATCCAAGATGGTGCCCGAGCTGGTGGCTTGCAGTTCACCTCTGTCCACTCTGTTTCTTTTTTTGCTATTTTTATCATTTTTCTTCAATAAGATCAGCTCACTACTGGTGTATGATCGCCAGCAACTGCTCAATCTACAATTTTCCACCACTTATCTCGCCTCCTATGAACATTTTGATTGGGGTTCTGGGCCCCCACCTCCGCTGCTTGGGAACGTACCTGGGTATCTCCAGCGCGCGGCTTTCGTGCCTGCACGAAAACATCGCTCTCGTCGCCGTGGGAGACGTGCTGGCCGCCTCGTGAGGCTCAAAGCTAGTCTCGCTCGTTCCTCAGCTACAGCTGTCCACCGGAATGAGGTTTCTCCAACTGGATGCTTCGCTGAGTCCTGCCTGCTGCAGAACATCGGGTCGGAGGCGTGCAGCGAGCGAGCGCCCAGCTGCAGTGTTTCCAACCGTATCCAGCAAACCGAAACCAACCCGGGTCCAACAGCTGCACCATCTGCTGCCCCATCGGATTGTACCAACGACCCTGCTGTGTCCGGTGGCTCCTGGATTCCGGCTGTTCGTCCCGGCTGCACTTTCTCCGGCCGGAGGAGGCGAGGACCCGACGTAAACAAACCGAAACCGCTGATCTGCGCCCCCCCCCCCAACTTCTCCCTCAGCTGCTGACCCAACAAGGTTTGCTCTCCTCAATGTGAGGTCTTTAACAAACAAAACCTTCATCATGAATGACTTTTTCTGCACAAATAATCTGGACTTTGTTTCTGACAGAGACTTGGCTTCCTCCGGGTGAGTCAAGTGTGTTTTCTGAACTTGTGCCTGCTGATTGTACGTTTCTTAATTGCCCGAGGTCATCTGGAAGAGGTGGAGGAGTGTTGGCTGTTTTTAAGAAAATCTGGAAATGCAGACTGTTACAGACACCATCTTTTCAGACCTTTGAACTGCTGCATTTTGAACTGGGCCGCTCCAACCCCATGTTGATTGCGGTGCTTTATTGACCGCCCAAATCCTCCACAGGCTTCATCAGCGAACTGTCTGTCTTTCTCACTGCAATACTGTTAAAATACGACCGTGTGCTGATTCTAGGGGACTTCAATGTGCACGTCTGTTGCCCTGAAAAGCCTTTGGTTCAGGACTTTTTAGATCTGATCCACTCTTTAAACCTGGTGCAAAATGTTGTCGGCCCCACACACCATCAGGGTCACACTCTTGATATTGTTCTGTCTTGTGGTGTCTCTGTGCTAAATCTGGAAATTGGGGATGCTGTCATGTCTGATCACAAACCAATCTCATTTGTAATACCTCTTGCTCGTGTCTCTAAATCTCTCGCTCCACCCAGGACCTGTCGTACATTTAACCCTTCAACTGCTGCTCGTTTTTCCTCTGCCTTTATTACCGCTGCTGCAACAACACCTGAAACCTCTGCCTGTGTCGGTGCTCAGGAGCTGCTTGTGAATGTGACTTGCACTAAGATCTTGGATCTGGTGGGCCCACTAAAAGTCAGGAAACCAAGGAGAGCCCAGTACCCATGGATAAATGAGACCACCAGGGCAGCAAGACGCCTGTGCAGGAGAGCTGAGCGCAAGTGGAAAAAGGACCATCTCCAGGTTTCTTTCATTTTGCTCAAAACCTGTTTAAAAAATTACCAGAACACTGTCAAATCTGAAAAAAACAAAAATTTCTCCCAACTCATCAACTCAAATAGACACAACCCCCGCGCCCTATTCACAACAGTAAATTCCATTCTAAATGTCCCTTCGTATTCATGTATGGAGGCCTCTGTTGACACCTGCAATGACTTCACTAAATTCTTTGTTAACAAAGTGGAGTTGATCAGGGCCTCCATCCCCCAATCCTTAGTCGACCCATCAGCTTTTGTTTCGTGTTCTGCTACTTTCAGGCAATTCAAACCAATCACACTCCCATTGTTAAACAAAGTTGCTGGTCCCATGAAGCCATCAGGATCACCATTGGACCCCATCCCAGCAGCATTGTTCAAACAGGTTCTACCAGCGATTGGGCCTGCTGTTCTAACTATACTAAACAGTAGTATTGCTACAAGCGTGGTCCCAGAGGCGTTCAAACATGCAGTAGTCACACCGTTAAGTAAGAAACCTGGTCTTGACCCTTCAGCCTGCTCAAATTACAGACCAATCTCAAAACTCCCCTTTCTGTCCAAAATCCTGGAAAAAGTAGTTTTTACTCAGTTAAATCAGTTTTTAACTGAGAACAAAATCTTTGAGGTCTTTCAGTCTGGTTTCAAGCAGCTCCACAGCACCGAAACAGCTTTGGTTAGGGTTTGTAATGACATTTTAACAGCAAATGATTCTGGTCATTTTGTGGCTCTTGTACTCCTCGATCTTACTGCCGCTTTCGATACTGTTGACCACAGTATCCTCATCTCTCGGCTTGAACACTGGGTTGGGATTACAGGTGCTGCATTAGACTGGTTCCGCTCATACCTCTCTGACAGGAGTTTTTGTGTGAAGGTGGGTAAAAATCTATCCACTTCAATGCCTCTTTCCTGCGGTGTCCCGCAGGGCTCGATTCTCGGACCCCTTCTATTTTCACTCTATCTGCTTCCGCTGGGGTCAATCCTAAAAAAACATGGTATTCCATTCCATTGCTACGCCGATGACTGTCAGATCTACCTGCCACTGAAACCAGCCAGTGCTTGTTCCATCCACCCTCTCCTCAAATGTCTGGACGACATTAAGACATGGATGGCTTCAAATTTTCTAAGTTTTAACGACCAGAAGACTGAAGTCATTGTCTTTAGCCCTACCTCAGCTGCCGCCTCTTATCCTGTGAACCTGGACTCCCTTCAGCCTTATCAGAAGCACTCTGTTAAAAACCTTGGAGTGGTTTTTGACTCGGATTTTAAGTTCGACAATCAGATCAGTTCAGTTCTGCAGAGAAGCTTCTTCCAACTGCGGCAGGTAGCTAAGCTCAAGCCAGTGCTGTCTAGACCCGACCTTGAGACACTAGTCCATGCATTCATCACAACCCACCTGGACTATTGTAATTCACTGTATGCTGGGGTCAGCCAGGCCTCTATCTCACGGCTACAGCTCGTCCAGAATGCTGCAGCTCGGCTCTTAACTGGTACACCGAGGTATGAGCATATCACACCAGTTCTGTCCTCCCTACACTGGCTTCCTGTGAGAACTAGGATTGATTTCAAAATTCTCCTCCTGACCTATAAGTGCCTAAATGGCCTCGCACCCATCTACCTCTCTGAGCTACTGGAACCATATGTTCCCTCTCGGGCTCTGAGATCATCCGATCAGCTGCTTTTGGTTGTTCCAAAAACACGACTGAAGCTCCGAGGAGATCGGGCGTTTTCAGTCATGGGTCCCAAACTGTGGAACAACCTACCCCCCAACATTAGGCATGCCACCTCCCTTCCTGTGTTTAAATCCCTGCTAAAAACATATCTGTTCTCTCTGGCGTTTCATACTGTGTGAGTTGATTTAGTATATCTTGTTCCATGTCTCCATTTTAATGCTGTTGTTTTAATTTTTTAAGGTATATTCTTACTGCTTTTTATTTCTCAGTGTTACCCTTAGTGTTAAGCACTTTGATAACAGTCTATCTGTTTTAAATTGTGCTCTATAAATAAATATGACTTGACTTGACATGAGAGACCTGCTTTAATAAAGAATGATGACAACAGCGACAACAATACAGTTATAAAAAGGCATAGATTTTTTTTTTGAATGAATATGAATGATTTTTTTTTTAAATGAATTTTAAATGAATATGATACAAGACTTAAAGGAGGATGTAAAAGTTAATTATATAGAAAGATTCTGAGTCGACTATTTCAATTTACAGACACGTACACAAAACAAGCAGCGCACGAAGTCGGTGCAAATGAAGCTCCTCGACTCGTGTTGTGCAACAGGTTGCGTTACCTTTTCAGCAGCATGCATCAGTGCAGTGGTGCCGTTCTTTTGTCTAGCGTTCACTCTCACTCCTTTCTTTATCAGCAGCCTCAGGATGTCGTCTTGTCCACCAGCTGCAGCCAGCATGCACAGAGACATACCACTGACATCCTGCGGACAAACACAAACTTACAGTATTATGGAACTAACAAAACCCAGAAACTTCTCACTGACCCAACAGAAACAGGAACTGGGGTAACAAAAAGGAACTAAAACGACCATTTTTACATGGTCATAAAATATTACATCTATTGAAGGCAATTATTTTGATCAACTATTATATTGTTAGAAAATACAATCTACTCTAGTGGCTTAAATCATTTCATCTTGCGCAGCAGTCTGCAACCTTTAAAATCAAAAAGACATTTTTGCTTCGTCTTGCTAAAAATCAACCTTTCCAGATCTACAAAACACACTTGAAGGTTTAAAAACCCCCAACAAAAAACAACTCATTAAGCATTTTTAAAAACTATTTAGGGCTGAATGATATTATCGGCATGGTACCGGTATTGGCCGATATTAGCGATAAAGTTAAATATTGGACATCGGCCATTCCATGAAAATAACTCACCAATATAAAAGGCACTGTTTTTATATATTTATTTTATACACAGACCCTTTCCAAAAAATTTGAATATCATGGAAAAGTTGTTCAACTTCCCTAATTCAATTCAAAAAGTTAATCTTTAATAAATGATGGATTCAGGGCCCACAATTTAAACAATTTCAAGTATTTATTCGTTTATTTTTTACATAATTTGGGCTTCCAGCTCATGATACCCACGAAAACAGGAAATCAAAAAATTAGAATACTGTGGAGAAATCAGCCCAAATGTTGCAGGGCATGAATTTTTAAACTGTGTGACACTAATCATCTACTTAACTCAAAAAGCACCTGCACAGGTTTCCCCAGGTGTTATTAAATTGCTTCAGCTTGGTTCAATAGTCTCAGTTCGGTTCAACATGGTGAAGACTGCAGACATAACAACTGTCCAGAAGACCATCATTGAGACCCTCCATAGGATGGGTAAGACACAAAGTTCATAGCTAAGGAGGCTGGCTGTTGACAGAGTGCTGTGTCCAAGCATATCAATGGAAAGTCTAGTGGAAGGGCAAAATGTGGCAGGAGAAGATGCACCAGCAAAAGATGATCGTGGGCTTCAGAGGATTATCAAACAGAGAAGATTCTAGAATCTGGCAGAGATCCAGAAAGAGTGGAATGAGGCGGAGTCACAGCTTCAAAAACCACCACATTCAGACGTAACCGGGAGATGGGCTACAACTTTTGGGTTCCTCTGGTCAAGCCACTTCTGAACCTGAGCCAACTCTTTTCCGATTAAAGTAAAGTGTGTCTTTCATTCAGAAATCAAGGTCCAAGGGTTTGGAGGAAGAAGGGTGAGGAACAGAACCCATACTGCTTGAGGTCCAGTGTGAAATATTCACAGTCAGTCAAGATCTGGGGTGCCATGTCCGGTGCAGGTGTTTGTAAAATCTGCTTTCTTAAATTCAAGGTCAACGCAACAGTCTACCAGAATGTTTTAGAGGACTTCATGATTCCTTCTGCTGAGGATCTGTATGGAGATGCAGATTTCATCTTCCAGCTAGGGATGGGGCCGATCCGATCCAGTATCGGTATTGGCCTCCGATACCAGCATAAGTTACTTATCAGATTTTTCTGATCCAACCTGCAGAGATTTCAGATCCATGATGCAGGTTGGCTTCAAACTATGGAATGGATTTCCTGAACGGCGGCGTGTCTCATGAGCCCAGAGTAATAAGACCCGCCTCACATTCAGGAAATCCAGTTCATAGTTTGCAGCAGCTACAACGTGAGGACTGAGTTAGCAGCACTGTGGCTAACAGCTAACAAACTTTTCATCTAAACATGTCCGCTGTGTGGAAGTATTTTACACTAAACACCACAAAACAAGACAGCAACGTGCAATGTCTGCAGAGCCATAGCGCCACATTAAACCATGTTAAAGTTAGTTTTACGATGGACATTCGAGCTCCGTGGCTTCAGCGGTGCACTCCTGTTGCTCAACCCACAACAGGCGACTCGACCCCGGTCAGCCACGTCCAATCTGCCCCACTCAGTCTGCCCGTCTCTGAGGAGGGACAGACTGAGCGGGGCTGACCCAAATCAGACTGCCTGCTTCAGATTGAACAAGAAGAAGACATCGCTGAAACCACGGAGCTCAAATGTTTACAGAGAAGTTGTTAAACTTCATAATTAATGATCAACCACTATCAGTTGTAGAAAACGAAGGATTTCACAGTTTGATACTTGCAGTCAAGATATAGTTTACCCTCCAGGAGATATTTATCAGTACAACAGTAGACAATCATAAAAAACACATGATTTGAAAATTATAATAAAAAAAAAAAACCCGTAACAAAAACCACTACATTATAAAGCGATGTAAAATACTAAAAACAGGAACATGTCTGTTGGTTTATGCCATGAACTTAGCCGATGTTTGAAGCCATTTAACATTTTATTAAATTAATGTATTCATTAATTTAAAAGAAACAAAATTTTAAAAAATCATTAAAACGAAATCATTGAATGAAAAGAGTGCAGAAAGAAGAAAATTCTTATATCAGCCACTTATTTAAAAAAATAAAATAACTTTAAACAATCACTTAAATTAATCACTTTAATATCCACTTTAAAACTAGGAATAAAAAGAAACATGTTTTGTGTTAGCAGAATTTAATTCTAACTTTAAAACTTATCTAATATTAATAAAACTTACCTGAAGTTGCCTTTTTGGATATGCATGCATATATTTGTACAAATTGTACTTGAGAGGAGATTATTACAGCCTCATATAAAATCAATGATTATCATGATATCGGAACTGGATCGGCATCGGTCGATACTCAGACCTAGGTATTGGATCGGAAGCAAAAAAAAAAAAAAAATGGATCGGTGCATCCCTACTTCCAGCAGGACCTGGTCCCTGCCCATGCCACCAGAAGCACCAAAACCTGGTTTGATGTCCATGTCACAGTGCCTGACTGGCCAGCCAACTCAACGGACCTAAACCCCTTTGAGAATCTATGGGGTCTTCTCAAGAGGAACATGAGGGGCACCAGACCCAACAACAACAAAGATCTGACAGCATCAAGGAAATCTGGGCTTCCATAACTCCCAGTCAATGCCACAAGCTGATTGTCTCAATGACGCGTTGCATCGAGGCAGAGATTAAGACAAAAAGATTCACTACCAAGTATTGAAGATTGACATATCTTTTTGAAAGTACCATATTTTGATTGATTTGTTGTGATCCTAATTTATTTTTTGTTCTGCAAAAACTGAGAAGTGTGGGCTGATGTCTTCACCGTATTCTAATTTTTTTTAAATCCTGTTTTCGTGAGTTTCATGAGCTGGAAGCCCAAATTATGTAAAAATAAACAAATAAATACTTGAAATTGTTTAAATTGTGGGCCCTGAATAATCTATAATATAAAATCATATAAATAATATAAAATATAAATATCTATAATCTATTAAAGATTAACTTTTTGAATGGAATTATGGAAGTTAAACAACTTTCCCATGATATTCCAATTTTTTGGAAAGGTCTGTATTCATATAGTGTTATACCATTTTCAGCCCCTTTTTGGCATCTGCATTTGGTCAGGCCAATTGACATAGACCATGAAGAATAATGTAGTATTTTAATTCCACAGCAGCAAAAGCTATGCAGTCTCTATAAGCAGGTCTAGAAAAAAATAAAAATCGGTATTGGTATCAGTTATCGGCCAAATTAGTTTTAACATATCAAGATATTGGCCAAAACTTCAATATCGTGCATCCCTAATTGCTTAGCTAGCACATAATAAAATTGAACTTTTTTTGTTTTTTCGGCTGCTCCCTTTCTCAGGGCACAATGAAGTAACTTACATGAAGACATCAATTGTTTTTTATGCAGGATGCCCTTCCTGACACAACCACAGAACACCAAGCTACCACACTCCACACAACTCCACAAGCCCGCCACTCCACTGTGTGGAGCACTGCAGAGGGCTGCACATACTTGGATCCTAATAAATTTGGGTAATTGTAATTAGGATAGTTTGTTGTGCACAGTCATTTCAATACGCTTTAAACCTTTATATCTGTACCCATGCAAGAGGTATATATACCAGTACTTTGTAATTCATCATTTTGTCACACTGTTAACTCCTGTAATTACACATCAGTCACAAAAAACTCAAGAAAATGTCTGATAATAATGTTGTAACTGCTCTCAGGGATTCAGCCCAACCCTGGACCCCCCACTAATTACAGCACACCAAATGACTTTAAGAACGTGTCTGGGCTTCATTTTCTGCATGTAAATGCTCGTAGCCTTCTGAAAAAACTTGATGCTTTGAAAATTCTGATCAGTTCTTCTGGGGCAGATGTAATCTTTATCTCTGAAACCTGGCTCAACAAATTTGTAATGAATCTGTAATGAATGAACCTGGCAATCAATGGATTTAACATCTACCGCTGTGATCGTCAAAAAAAGGGGGGGGGGGGGTCGCTGTTTACATCAAAGATTCTTTGATTGCTAGTCTTGTGTCTTCTAAAACAATTCCAAACCAGTTTGAAGCCTTATCTGTAAACATCACCTTGAATGGAGGTCAGATCTTAACTGTAGTCTGCTGCTACCGCCCCCCCTCAGCATCACCTGAGGCTCTGTCTGCACTGAAGGAATTTCTTGGTAATTTAAAATTCAAAGAGATCCTTTTGGCTGGAGACCTCAACATTGATTGGTGTAAGTCGACCCCCCTCTGTGACAAATTCAAGGAATGCTGCCTGTCTCTCAATCTTACCCAATTGATCGACTCTCCCACTAGATTAAACAAAAACCGTCCTGAAAAATCCTCCATCTTAGACCTATTTCTAACTAATATGCCTCACAAATTCCCTGGTACAGGTGTATTCGCTGATATTTTGAGTGATCATTGTGTGACAGCTGCTTTGAGAGATATTAAACTTCCACCTTCTAAGCCCAGATTAATTCAAAAAAGGGATCTGAAACGTTTTTGTGAACAGTCATTCCTCTGGGATCTGTCTCACTTTAACTGGCATCATATTCTGTTAACTGATGACG